TACGCTCACCTGCGACATTGCGGAGCTCTGAACTTGATTTCAAAGAGGTTCGCGCCCGACTGATTGATACGAATCGACTAACTTGATTAACAAGTCAAAAATTAAGCCGGTGTCAAAAAAGTTTACAAATATCTCTCTTTCTGTTTCTCTCTCAATCTCCTCACGTATTGTCGAGAAAACTGTATTTACAATCCATTAGGCATAAGCTTACAAAATGATCTTACGTTCGGGTACTAACATTATATTGTATGCGAGCATACATTAATTGAATTAAAAAAGAATTCTTAAGAGAATTATACAAAGTTTTAAGCACTTTGCTTTAGTTAAAGTGTATGCCAGCCGAATTGAATGCCAGCAATAGACGCATGAACTCATCGATGTCCATAGACCGCGCGCGGGACCCACTAACGCCCAGTTCTTCCAGTATGCCCATGACCTTCTCCTGCATATTAAAGTTTTCTTCAATTGGCTAAAATAGTGAAAGGGATGAAATATAAGTTCAATCAATCAGTTATATGGAAAATTTCCGTAAGTACCTCATTCCTCAGTGATCGATATAATTTGTAATTCTTTTCGAGCATTTCCATCACAGAGTTCACTTTGAATGTAGCAGCCAGAGTTTTGTTTTTGCGCAGGAAAGCAATGCGAGTTAGGCCATCCCATTCGGTAAAGTTGATAGGTGGTGGGGGGTTCTTCGGTTCTAGACGCACCACGCTCGACTCGACCTTGGGTGGCGGCTTGAAATTGTTTTTGCCGACTTTCATTAGCATGTCCACTCGGGCCAATAGCTGTGTATTTATGCTCAAGCGGCAGTAGAGCTTGTCACCTGGCTTTGCGACCAGGCGCTGTGCAAATTCACGCTGGAACATTAACACGGCACAGCGAAAAAGTGGGCGGTGCAGCAATAACTTGAAGATCAGTGGCGAACTGATCTGGTAGGGCACATTAGCAATGCACAGGTCGAAGAAGGGTAGGTCTGCTTTCAGAAAATCCCCTATAAGCACCTGTAGTTTTGGCTGCATAGGTGTGCCCTGGACACGTTTCTGCAGCTCGGCGGCCAGACGTGTGTCAATTTCGCAGGCAATTACCTTTTTGGCGCGCTCCAGCATGCGCACAGTCATGTTGCCTGTGCCAGGACCGATTTCCAGTACAACATCGGTCGCTCGCAGAGCCGCTTTCTCCAACATAGTCGTAATGACCAACGGATTTTTCAATATATGCTGACCGAAATCCTTGTTAAAAACAATGCCTACAAAGCAGTTGGCAATATAGATATTACGAAATTTATTGCATATAAATTGAATTACCTTGCTTTTGCACCTCATTATGTATGCGACTTTTCTTCTCTGTTTTTACTTTTGGCATGTTTAATTTGTAAATCAACTGAAAATACTCAGTCCCTGTTGCTGCGGTGCAAATTTGTTTTGCTTCGTCTGCTTTGCTCGTTATATTTGGGTGCCATGTGCACAGCTCAGAGTTGCGTTTGTGCCCGGTGTTACCAGATCGCTCGCAGTTTGGCGCCAAACGGTCTTTTTTGAAACCCTTAGAAGGAAATAATTGACTCAGTTGATACATTTTTATAGGTGTTACCTCTTTATTTATTAATTAGTATCCATTTTCATTAAATCTTCGCTTAAAATTAAAAATCAATTTTTAGTAATTTTGTGTTCTTTGGTTATCTTTCCGCGCCTCATTTTACATTTTGTCACCATTTATTTAGTTACTTGAATAACAACTCACTGTCTTCTCTTAGTTCAATTCTTTTTACAACATATCAAAGTTGGGTTTTGACTTTTCTTTATAGCTTATTTATTCATTTATTTAAACATAACTTAAAGATTATTTTTGTCTCAATATAATTTTGTGGGATTTCATTTAAATAGTTTCTCCATTTGTTTAATATTCTTTTAATGAGTAGTTTCTATTTTCCAATTTGTGTTTGTCAGTAACGATTTAAGATTGTTTTTATATTTGTTATTCTCTCTTTTAATGTATATGTTGTCTATGTATAGAATCTAAATTGCAGAAGGTACATGAAAAGGTGTATCCGTCAGCATGGCATTTGACTGGTTATGCTTGTTGTATGTAATTACTAACCATATGCTATATGGTTAGTAATGTAACTAAATCGACATTACAAAACGTTTCCCACTTCAGTTTCTAGAAGTTGTTAGTCAAGCGATTTTTAGTGAACATTTATCAATGAGAGAGAGATATAGAGTTATAGCGACAACATAAGTTTAATCATGCTCAGCAGTTTCTTTCTCTGGCAAGAAACAGTAAAAGTTCTTGTACTGCTGAGCTAAACCTTGCTTGCTGACAGTCAACTACTCATCCACTTCATTGCGTGGGTCAGCACAATTTATTAGTTTTGATAGGTCTAGATTTGTTCGAGTTAATACAGTAGTTAGCCAAACAAAACAAAGAAAAGAATCAACAAAAAGGCGTTACAATTTAAACTTTTGTTCCTTCAAACTTTGCTCTACACCGGGCCGGGTTGATTATTTTTTAATGAGCTTACAGCTAAAATTCTGTTTTACAACTTCTGTTCTGTTTACGTTTTTCATTTAGTTTTTATTCAGGTTACGCGTTACATTTTTGTTTTCCTTTGTGTTTGTGTGTGTTTTTAAATTTATTATTTATTATTTTCTTTGTTCTTCACAATGCGCTTCAGCTGCTTCCATTTCAAGTTCGGTAACAACCTACAGTTCTTACTTTTGTATTTTATTTGCTTTTCCCTCCGACCGAGGCCTCTTCATAGGTATAAACTAGTTTTTGTTATGGCTGGAACCGTATGTGTAAATTTGTGATAATTTGCATTATTTTTTTACAACTGCATCTTCGAACTAGTATGTCGCATTCTTTTCTTTTTTGTTTGTTTTTGCTTTTGTATAAATTGGTTTACATATGGTTTACATTTGTCCTGTCTTCATTTTAGTTTAGTAAAATGCGGTTTTGAGAATACTTGAGGTTAACATTTAAATGGGTATTAGAGCCTTACGCTCTGCTTGCTATTTCATAAATATATTATTTTAATTATACACTTGGGCTTGTTATCTCATTACATACAAAGTTTCATTTTGTTTTCTGTTTAGTTAACAATGTTTCTTACAATTAGTAATTTTTGCTATATACTGCCATTTGTTGCATACAAATTTATCAAACTTAGTAATCGGCAAACAATTTGCTCTCCTGTAAATGCAGTACAAGATTCATTAAAAATTCAATTATTTAGATGCTCTCAAATCAACAAAAAACTAAAACTAGATTTTTTAAAATGTATATATATATATATATATATATATAAAGTATATATATATTTTTAACACGAATAATTGAAATCATAAAATCAAAACTAACAAATTTCGATGCCATATAAATGGTTTCCATTTGTTCATTCAATTGTTTGAATTTTCTTCTTTTTTCATTTATGCAAATTGTATTTGTTGTTTGAGTCTTTGGTTTTAAAATCAACACATATATTTTTGTTACTTTTTTTTATAATGGTATTATTTCATACATTATCTCTGTTTATATATATAATTTGTTCTGCTTTGTATTTGTTTTACAGTTTTAACTGCATATATTTCACATATACTAGATTAACTCTATGCACATATAAATAATTATATATATATATGTATAAGTGTATGTATGAATATAAATATATATGCATATTTATAAGCATATATATATATATATACATACATACATTAACATATAGTTATACTTTACTGAAATTTAATATGTTGTCCAACTTATAGGCTAAACATATTTCGGTTTTTGTATTTATAATTTGTGTTCCATAAAATATATATGAATTTAAAATGTGTTTATTTGGTTTTTATTTTAAAGTTTGTTCTCATTTTAAGACTAAGCTTAGTTCCATTCACTTTTAATTTTATTGTTTAAATTTCTGCATTTGTTTAGCTCTGTTTTTGTATGTGCGAGTTTGTGTGTTATTTTTGGCTTTATTTTATTTTTTAGTTTTTATTTATATTTATTTTGGTTTTTGTTGTTATTATATTATGTTTGTATGTATAACAATAAGTTATTTTAAAATAATATCGCTTTAATACTTGAGAAGGAAATTGTGCAAGAGTTCGAATACGCATAAACTTGTTTTCTTCTTTTCATTTCATTTCATTTGTTTTTATCGTATTTTCTTATGTTTACAGACGGCTTTTTGAATTGCGAGTCGCATAGGATAGCGCTGTTGCGAGATGGCTGTCTGCATTTGGGTGCGAAACTTGAGATTCGGCACATTAATAAATAAAAAACTAATAACAAAAAGCATGGCGCTGCATTTGCAACAACATTGACTAGATCAGGACTTCCTTTTTTTTGGCAATAATAATTGTTTTTGGTAAGGATTGTGGGACAAAGATAGGTAAAGCTGCAAAAATAGCGCCTTGCTTTGAGAGGCTTTGAGCATTACAACGAGCAAAAGCGATAGATTTGTTGAAAGAGACAGATTGTGCGATAAGTTATCATAAAACTATAAACAAACAAATTCTTAACATTAGAGTTTGCCTGCGTATCCGTGTGTCTGTATATGTGCCTAAGTGTACCTGTTTGTAAACAATTTTATAGTTTGTTTTATATTGGCACTGGGCGTAGTGACGACTATAAAATCCTCTACGCTTTTCCAAATTCATATATATATATGTCGTAATTACCGTAGGTGTAATCATTTCTATCTATATATAACTTGCGATTCTCAGCATTTCATTTTGCATTTGCGTTTTTAGTTGTGATTTCTTTATAGAACTACGCTTTCGTAATTTCCCAACATTTAAACATAAAACGATAAAACAGACAACTAAAAAGGGTAAAGACCACAACTGGAAACAGACAACAATAAAGCGTTCATAAAGTAATCAACGGAAGCAAAGTTTTTAGGTTCAAGTGCTAGGGAGATAAGCTAAGTCTAGGAATAGGCTAAGAGATTAGCATAGGGTTGAATGTAATTAAAACCCCGGCAACGAAGTGCCAACTGCTTAAAATTTCAACTGATCCAGTTTGCTGGTTTATTTCCCGCCAACACTAAGCGCATATCCAATCCAATTATCCAACGGTCGCCGCTTTAAAACACCTTGCGCTCCGGCCCAAACTTGGGATTGACAAAGGAGAAGCCGGCGAACTCATCCTGATTAATGCAACGAATGACATCATTACCAATTGGTGTTAGCACGGGCTCCTCTTTGGTGAATTCGGCATCGAAATTGTTGGCATCACGTGGGTTTTTCTATAAAAGGAAATCAAAGGGTTGACCAGTTTTCTGGCTTTACACTTTTACAAAACATACCATTTTTGGTCGGAATGGTGGCTTTATGTTGCGCTTCTCCAGCTCCTTCCAGTCCAGTTTATTGAAGAATGCATGCTTGCGGATTTCGTTCTCGTCACCTGTACAGCCCAAACGCTGCTCTGGGTTCTTTGTGAGAAAACCTAGAGTGGACATTGATAACATATAGATTGCTGTTCTTACGTAAAAAGTAGAATCTTACCTTTCAAGATGGACACGGCTTCGCGGGACAACCACACGGGGTAAAGCACATCATCGTGCATTATAGAGTCGAAAAGCTCATCTTCATTGTCAGCCTCAAAAGGAGGCTGGCCAGCCATCATCTCGTACATAAGAACGCCCAACGCCCACCAGTCCACGGATGCGCCGTATTCTTGTTCCTTGAGAATTTCGGGGGCTATGTAGTCGGGTGTGCCACAGAATGTCGTGGTCAACATGCCGTTCATGATGCCCTCCTTGCACATGCCAAAGTCAGCGAGCTTACAATGCCCCTCCTGGTCGAGCAGTATATTGTCAAGCTTCAGATCGCGATAGATAACGCCATGGGTGTGGAGAAACTGCAGGGCAAGAGTGACCTCGGCGGCATAAAACGCAGCACGGCCCGCTTCAAAGCGGCGAGCCTTCTGTATTTGAAACATCAAATCGCCACCGTTAACATACTCCATAACAAAGAATAAGCGATCTGGGGTCTGAAAACAAGAATGTAACGCCGTAAGGAACGGATGGTTGGCGGCCAGGGCCAAGATGCGTTTTTCGGTCATCGTGCAGTCAACATCATCATCCTGTATAATGGCATCCTTCTTCAAGACTTTAATGGCATAGATCTCATCGGTGCCCTTCTTCTCGGCCAGCATCACTTTGCCGAACGAGCCTTTGCCAAGCACCTTAATAAAGTTAAAGTCTACTAGCGAGCACTTGCCAGGACGGGAATCTCCGCCACCCACGGCTAGGCTCATGCAGCTGCTGCTATTGTATCCGCTGGTCAACGTACTCGTTGACGTGGCCAAGCTATCAGCGGACAACGTGCCGCTTCGAAATGAGGCACCTGGCACACCGTCGCCACCCTCGCCACCCAGTGAAGCGCCATAATTGTCCTCTCCACCTGGTTGACTCAAGTATTTGGAGCGTCGCGGCTGCTGGCCCTGTTTATCCGGTGAGATGCCCAGCGAACTGAGTATCTCGGCCATTTGCTTGGTGTTGATGCCGCAGGTATTGGCCACATTCTTTTGGCACCGTTTGTGGACGTTCATGTAACATGTCTCGCATTGCAGGCCCTGCTTAATTAGTCCATAGAGCAACGAGCCGCAATGATCGCAGAATGTGAAACGCTTGTAGCTGTGCACCACAAATCGATGCGGCACATTGACATTGAACCGCTGCCCGGCCGGCACCACTTCCACCTTGGCTTGCTGTAATTGCAAACAATTGTAATTGAATTATTGAACACAACTGAGTACATTGATTGACCTTCATACTAACCTCGTCGCGCATACCAGGACATTTGGAGACCACAGACAGATGGCATTTTTTATGTACAACTAATGTGCAGACTATAAATGATTAGATCAAAATATAATTTCATTAATCGACTAGTTTAATAAAGATTTCATTTAGTGTTGTTGCAAGCTGTACGATTTATTATCCTTAGCATTTGAGATGAAATGCAAGATGACTCAGGTCACAGCAGTGCAGCAGTCAATTTTAATTGAAATATTTGTGATATTTACAGAGTTACCATTGAAATAATTAATTATAATTTACACATTCAGAGGTTAGACACACTGATAAATTAGCATATTTGACGAGCTGTGTCACATAACATCAAATTATATGTATTGGTGTTGTGTGTTGGGTTTTGTGCGTAAGAAAGTGTAAATGTAGTTGGTTTAAATAATTTTTGTCTCTGGTCAAATGCAAATTAGTTTTCGTCATTTTATGGACAGCAAAAGAATTGTTTAATCACATATACATATATGTATGTGTATAACTTGCTTGTGACGTGCAAATTGTCCAGAAATTAATAATATTATTAGATTGCCCACAGAGCTTGAGCATCCGCAAACAACAATCAAATCAAAACACATACAGATTAGCAACTTTTTCTACAACGTTAACAAAACAATATTGAAATATATAAGAGCTGTTTCATCGATGTATTATAATGTATTGCATTGGAAAGATGTACTTTTAGAAACCTAACTAAAAGATGGCAGAAATGTATGAAACTTATTTTTAAAATATATACATTTAACATGTTTCCTATCAACCCTCGTGTCAGACAATCTCACCTAAGTCAGTTAACTATATTCAATTACCATAAACATAGCCACAGTAGCTAAAGGCTAAAACTCTAATTGTTGTCTTTCTTTATCTATTTAGCGATAACGAACTCAAACACATATAAATAACTTGCGTCATGAATTACTTGAGCTAATCACTTAGTAACTAAAAAGAGCCTACTTCTTTCCTTAAGACTTCAAGCCTAATATTAGCATAGTCAACTTAAATAAATAGGTATATTGAATTTGAAAGATAAACTAGTCTTACCAAATCAGAGACATTATAAATATTGTGTAAACATCATTATTACTTATATCATTAGCTAAAGCAACTTTTCTTGAACTAACCAAACTTAGGTTAAACGATTAATATGATTTTAAGGCTGCCGATAAAGTCTAACATCTAAAGAGCATTAGTATGAGCGCAAGACAGTGCAAAACAGAGTTACAAAATGTGTGTACTGACAACATTGTAATCAAATTAAAATAAAAATGGCCAATGCATTACTTTCGGTGCATGGACAATGCGGAGAGAAGCGACAATGGCAGCGACAGCACAAATTAAATTTAAAAAGAAAAATTACTTTCCTTAAATTGTAAATATTGATATTCAGATAAATAGATAATGCAGCTATTGTTATGAACAAAGGCAAATACTTTGTTTCTTGGACCGAAACTGAACAACATCAACAAACAACGAACGAATGAGACGAGCAAATGCAAGTGATGGATAGCTTTTGATTTTTTTGTTTTTTGTTTTGTTTTAATTTTTAATTTTTTTTTTTTTAATGTTCTTCTCAGAGACTTGTAGGTCTCTGTAAGATATTCCTTTTAAATTTGAAGCAAAACACATACCTTGACATTGATAGCCTTGTTTACCAATTCCCCTGCAAAAAGGCAAGAAATTCCGTGGCTATTGCATATATTTCTTTTATAACTGAATGATGTGTGTCTTTGTTTTGTTGTGTGGGCATGAATTTATGCGAAAAATAAACCAAAAAAGGAAGCAAACCCGCAGCTCGAAACCAAAGAATGAAAGTCAAAAGCAGATGTATGTATGTATGTATATAGCATGAGAGACCAAACGAGACCAGTGAAAGAATTGCAGCTGCATATGGCAAATATAAAACCCTCAAATTAAGGCCAGTTATGTGAAAGTGGTTAATCCAAAGAAATATTATTTAAATTAGGAAAATACCTATGTTTAGTATAGCTAAAATACGTGGCGGAACCCAAAGTTGTGAATATTACGTTTGCAATACATTGAAATCGAGATATATTGCAATTAAAATTAAAAATATATAGTAATAAATAAAATAAACAAAATCATAAGATATAAGAGTAATGACAATGCTATGATGTGTGTGTTTTGTAAATCATATAAAAACCCAAAAATTATACATATATATATATGTATCTATAGATAAATATATATATGCACTGATATTAATCACTGCAATTACAACTCAAGAATGATTCTGTAGATGGACAGTCTGTCTGTGAGTGCGCGCAGAGCGCACCTACATATATGTGATATTAAATGCGATATTTTATTCACTCACCAAATAAATTCCCGACAATGTGAACAGAAGGTCGGCTGGCGCAAAAACGTGGCCATAAACTTATGCCCGTTGACCTATGGGAAAATAAATCGATTGATTAGTTTATTGCCAATTATGATTTGTGCAAACTATTTACTTGATGCACACGACGGCGCATAGCACCACGGCGTCGATTGAAGCCAGCGCGTTCCTTGAACTCCTTATTAACTGCCACAGTCTGCTCCACCTCGGCATCCGCTTTAGCTTGATCTGAAAAGTCTAAGAGATTATATTGTCCGCCCATAGAATGTATAAATTAACTAACCATAATGCTCATGTCTACCATTGCGGCTCTTCAACTCGATAATGACGTGGATCTTGCCCTGTGGTTCCAGGTTAATCTGCAAGACAAAAGATTAATATCAATATGCGGTCGACTGTGTGAATATCATACTTTCGCCTATAAATTAAAAAAATGGTTAAAATTATAAAATGTTAACTAAAAACGTAAATAAAACCCTACTCATAAAAAGTCTTCCATTTAATAAACATAATAAAATATCCCTATAAATTTGAAAAATTCTAAGAAACTAAATTGACAAATACTTGTCAAATACTACTTGATTTCATTAACGAAATTAAATTATTAAATGTCACTATCAGTACATGGATAACGCTGATTATTGAGACTTTCGTATCTAAGTTAATTTAAGTTCGCATATTTTTTAAAATAATATTAAATAATAATGGAACCTATACTTAGTCTCAGTATTTTTGTAATATTCTAGGTAAACTGAAATTTAAATATATGAAACAATTTATTTACCCATAGATCCGGAGCACCTGATTCGCTTTGCATTAGATCCTCGAATGGTATAATGCAATTGGCAACAAAGTCATCCGGTGGCAGGGCTGCATCATGAAAAACAGTTAAGTTGATGTTACGTGCGTTGGTCACGTCGTGGACGAACTGCTCGTTCCATACTGGATCGAATGTCTTTGGTCGGGTTGTCGAACGATCTATTCAAGAATGTTTGGAATATGGATAACTGTTATGATAATTGATAATTTGCTTACCAAAATGACTCTCGTCGACATCTATGGACACGTAGGGATCGATCAGCTGCTCATCGGCCAATTTGCCAAACGTTAAATTGTGGCGCTTTTGAAAATCTGTTGGACGCAGGCCGCTCGCCTCGCAAACCTTAATCTGAAGTTTACCCGTAAACATTTCGCTGATTGCTTCAGCCGCACTTGTAGCTCTCTTGTGTTTGTTGTTGTTGTTGTTGATGCTGTGTCGATCTGGATCTTGGCAGGATTTATCGGCAGCGCCGCGTCAATGCGGCAGCGGTGGTTACAAAACGGTTTCGATTAGTGGGGTGTCTGCCAATTGAGAGGTAATTGAAGTTGTACTACAAACAAGACGATTAAAAGACTTTTAGTATAGGTCAATGACACTCTTGAATTTGTTTTAAATATATACACACATAATACACGTTTGCATGTATGTGTATGTGTGTACATAGATGCTCAAGTGAATTTTATAATACATGCTCAAACGAATTTCAAGGTCGCACTCAAATTGACATTGCTGAAAAATGGGAGCACAACAACAAAAACCACAGCAACAATTACAGCAACGCACATATTCTTAGACACTGCACTTCCGTTCAGCATTGAGATTTGAGTTAGTCAGCATTGGAATTCACTCGCTGAACGAATTATGAAACGTACAAGAGATAATCACACACAATTCTGTATTTATATGCATATATTTTAAAATAATGCCTGTGCATGTTTTGATATACGTATGTACATATGTGTTTCTATAGACTTAGATAAAGCTGAATTAAAAGTCGCCCTTAACAAAGTTCACGTTGTTGCCTAGGTTTAATTTACTTTTACATAGTATGCGAATTATATATACATATTCGCATACAATACAAATGTTTTTATTTGATTTTTTACTTTTTATGTATTTACTACCTTCAACTCATAAACACACGCACACACAACCAGAAACGAGCACATACATTGACAAGTACTCGGACAGTGCACACATAGCAGCAGTAGCAGATATTTTTCACAAATAAAACAACAAAGAAAGAATAACAAGCAATCCTAATACCTCTGCGCTAGCCCCACACCTCGACACCCCCACACACACCCACAACTAGTATCGCGATTGCTAGCCCAGCGTACACACGGGCGTAAGCTCTCGCTCTCTCTCTTTTTATCTTTTATAAGAACACGAGAAATTCTCATGCACATACTCACACATACGCACATCAATACACGTCCACATTCCAGCACAAACAATACACACAAATACCAATAGACAGCAAATGCAAATTGCACAAGTGAATTTGACAATATGACAATTGCGACTAGTGCGTTAATTTACAATTACCGTTAAATCAACAAAAATACCACTTGAAAACTTATATGAACGAGAGTATGTGTAAGAGAATGAGTGAGAGAGAGAGCGCGCAGCTTCGTTAAAAAGCAGGGCAACAGAGAACTAACCGAAAAGAACCAAACAGACAGGCGCAGTACATGAATGACCCAAATATGACAGTGCACACTGGTTGGAAACATGTTTTCGCATTTTGCATAGATTCATTACTTTCGATTTCAAATCAACGAAAGTAAATTCTTAAACGATATAAAGTTGCAACTTTAACTTATGAGCCCCCTTTCGACCAATTTTTATTTAATTTTTTGAAATTTAAAATTCAATTAATATTTTATTCAGTCTATTAAGAGCCAGCTGTGCGAAAAGAGTGTCATACGTTATTGAAAGAGCTTTCTCAAAGTACAGAGCAGAGCTTCAGGGAAATCGGTGGACATTACTTTACATTACACCTCAATTACTTACCTTTTCTCGCAAGGGTACCGTGGCTGTGGCTGTGCGCCGTGCTGCTCTCTTCGCCTTGCTATGTGTGCGCTCTCGATTGTTGGTATATTAGAGAAAAATGTTCAGCTACATACATGTGTATGTACATACATACATATGTGCGAAAAAATTAAGGATGGCACATACACAGGCACAGCACACACGCACACACATACGCAAACAGACACCCTGTTTGCTCAATTCCAATTGGAAATTATTTCAAGGAATTTTTGCCTTTACGTTTGACAGTGGCAATATGTTTACACTATTTTCTCACACAAACACACTTTCCAGCATTTTTCGACAATAGAATTTCATTTCTGCGCACGAATAATTAAAGCAAAAATAAAAATTATTTATCGTCTCTCGCTCGCCTTCGCCTTTGACAATTACACAGGTCAGTGTGGCTGCATATCTGGTGCTAATAAATACCAATTTAATTTTGCAACTCAGGATTGAAGACTAGCAAAAATACTAATTTAACGAACTGTTAAAAAATTATTTCAAATATAATTATTTTTAAATTACGCACCAACTTTATCACATTTTGACTCTTACATTAATCTGATTTAAAATTGTATTTCCAACAAACTTATTGTAAACTGTCATATTAACCGAACAGCTGACTTTCTAATTTGTGGCAACTCTGCTTGTTTTCTAGATATTTCCCCTATTCATTGTACTGTCAAGATTTACTGATTTTGAATACTCGCGAGTAAAATATTATTCTTTAGTCTCAACCAAGAGTTTATACACAAAATGTCGCTGAGATTTGATTGGTATCAATCAGAGACCAAGGTGGTCATAACAGTACTCTTAAAAGGCGCCATTGAAAAAAATTATAACGTCAAGATTGAACCACAAAAAGTACATATGACTGCAGATGGACATGAATTGATTCTAAATCTTCTGCATCCCATCGTTGTGGATCGCTCCTCACACAAAGCTTTTTCTACAAAAGTGGAGATCACATTGGCAAAGGAAACTGGTGTGCGCTGGGAAAGTCTCGAACAGAAGGCCGAAGTGGTAAAGGAAGTGGCCATTCGCCAGGCAAAGAATTGGGATCGTTTAGTCAGCGAAGAGGAAAAACTTGACGAGAAGGAGGCAAAAGGCGAAGCCGCTTTAAACCAGCTATTCAAAAAGATCTATAGTTCGTCCTCACCGGAAGTTCAAAAGGCCATGAATAAATCGTTTTCTGAATCTGGCGGAACTGTATTAAGCACTAACTGGAACGAGGTTTCCAAGGAAAAGGTCACTGTCAAGCCGCCTGAAGGCACCGAATTCCGCCAGTGGGACAAGTGAAATAGATGAAAGTCCCGCAAATTCATATCCATTAAGAAACCTAAAATAATTATTTACAGACGCAGAAATGATTATGTTAATTTAAATAACTACTATATAATACATATTTCAATAAATTTGAGCTTAACTTTACTAATACGAGTGCATCTATTAATTCTTACAAGTTATTATCAGCGTGTGTGTGTGTGTGTGCTGGGGGTGGTAGCGTTCAACGGGGAAATTTTTAAGTTGAACAGCTGATCGGCTACCGGCGATGTGCAGCGACGCACAGTTTTTTTTTACTTTTATAACTACAGACGAATTTGCAATTAGCACGAGACAATATGTATAAAAATCTAGAAGAGCACAATCGGCTAGTCAATAAATATCTAAAGATATTTTTTGTTGTAGCATTATATTGGTGAGTATCAGAGAATCAAAGCATCAAATCGTATTTATATGGTAACTTGTACACGTTGCCTTTACTAGGTGCACCTCCATACTGACTGTATTTGTTAATAAACATCTGCTGAGCAGCGATGCGGTTAATTTGGGTGCACCGCTTTTCATGTCCTGGTATCAGTGTGTTGTATCCACCATCATATGCTTTACAATGAGTCGCCTCAGTCGCAAATATCCGAGTGTGTTCACGTTTCCGGAGGGAAATCCATTGGACATTGACACCTTCCGAAAGCTACTCCCGCTAACAGTGCTCTACACGCTTATGATCGGTGCCAATAATCTATCGCTCGCCTACGTCACGGTCGCCTTCTATTACATTGGTCGCTCCCTCACCACAGTGTTTAGCGTAGTGCTAACCTACCTGATCTTGCGACAACGCACAAGTTTCAAGTGCTTGGTGTGCTGTGCCACAATTGTACTGGGTTTTTGGATGGGTGTGGATCAGGAGAGCCTAACACAATCATTTTCCTGGCGTGGCACAATATTTGGTGTGCTCAGCTCTCTGGCGCTGGCCATGTACTCGATACAAACGAAAAAATCGCTGGGCTATGTCAACCAAGAGATCTGGCTGTTGAGCTACTATAATAATCTCTACTCTACAGTCCTCTTTTTACCTCTCATTATTCTGAACGGTGAGCTGGATACAATTTTGGCATACCCACACCTGTGGGCGCCGTGGTTCTGGGCGGCAATGACGCTCAGTGGATTTTGTGGTTTTGCCATTGGCTTTGTCACAGCTTTAGAGATAAAGGTTAGTGAGTCAACGACAATGTTATTGCTAAAGGTATGTAGTTATCAAACATCTGCTGATTACAGGTTACTTCACCGCTAACGCACAACATCTCCGGCACGGCTAAGGCGTGCGCACAAACAGTTATTGCCACGCAGTATTACAACGATGTGCGCTCCGCGATTTGGTGGGTTTCCAATATAGTCGTATTGGTTGCAAGTGCAGCTTACACTCGAGTCAAGCAATTGGAAATGGTGCAGCAGCACCAACAGCGAAACGCCGCAACATTGAAAGCATAATCTAATATTTCCCGTTATTCGAATCAGTTTCAAAGAATTTAAAGCATTCATATATCTTTCTATCTGCGCATTACTATATATAGTGCAATTCTTCAGTGTTCTAATCGTAAGCATTGTGTTAATGTATGTCAGTTAAAAAAGTGTTGGGGGTCTAATTTCCCCTTATTGTCATAGCGCACAAATATCTTTTGATCTTTATATACACCCGTAAACCAAACCTATACGTAAGCGATAAATAATCTAATTTAAGAAAACCTAACGACGGATACAGCAGCTCTTGCTATATGGGAATAAAAACGTTCCTTTAAATTATATTTGTAAACTATGTTTCCCGACTTTTAATGCGCAACTGGATTATTTAGCAATAAAGCAACCAATTATGTGAGTACACAATAATAAATGATGAACTAATTTGATGCAGCTGCCGCTTCCTTTGATTGTGGTTCTGGTTCTGCTTCCTTCTTTGCTTCCCTGCTAGCTTTGGCAGCGGTTTTATCGTAAAACTCGGGTATATATACAAATGGATCTATCTTCAGCTGTTCACTGCTTGGTGCGCTCTTAAGTAGTACGCGCGTTATGAAGCGTCCATCCCGCTTGGGTCGCATACTATTTACATCTTGCAATAGAAAACGTATATTCTCCTCGAGATGCTGTGCATCCATATCCAGAGTGCCCACATTGGCTTTAATTAAACCAAAGTTTTGCTGATATTCATCTTTAGTTGCGCTGTAGCTGATGCCATTCGAGAATTTGACAACCATTTCTGCAAGGTTTACGCCAAGTGTCTCGCTCTTTGGGTTGGGAAACTTGCGCTTCATCAAGCCTCGGAGTGCAACGAGCTCTGGCAGAATGTTGGGATGCGCAATAATGAACTGATAATCGGACAGCAGCAGCTCTCCAGCTGTTATGTCCTTAATAAGCTCCACGCCACCCACAAGAGTAGCGCCTGCTTCGCGAGCTTCAACAATTTCATCCTAAAATTATATTTGTGTATTAGCATGCACTAAATATATATTTGTTCATTGTCAGACTTACATTGCCCTTTGTGAATACTATGATCTTACGTTCCTCGCCGTGATCAAATTTATGCGGTATCATAGCCATGCGCTGAAAATTATCCACAAATCGTGTTGCCTTTTCACCTTGCATATTCAGCTCAATTTCCACGTTCAACGAAGCATTTGGCACATTATACATGGTTGGGTGATGTGTTTCCCGATGGCATTGTATGGCCTCTGCTACCGTATAAACCGGCCAGCGATAATAGCGTCCCACGTAGACGTCATCTTTGGGCACCTGCTTCCAGGAGTCGTCCACGTGTTTATCAGCGCGTTTAACGTTAATTCTAAAAAAAATATATTAATTAAAAGTCAGATGTCTATTGCTTGATTACTTGTCACTTACTTCTTGTCACGTTGATTGTGGGGAATGAATCCAACTTTCTTTACCTCCACTTTAACCTTTTTTTTACGTGCCTTTTCCCGGGTGCCTTTGCGTGCGGCTTCCGTGACCGCGGTCAAGTGTAGGCAGCGCAATGCCTCTCCTGATTGTTGCCGCACGGCGAGGGCACGCATCGTTGATATAAGGGTCAGCATTTTAGTTATGAATATTACTTTGAGTCCTGAAGTTATTGTTAAGTTATAATTATATAATATTAAGTATACCCGGCTGTTCCGAACAAAACCATAACAGAACTGCAGAGTGACCAGTGCACAATGGGAAAATTATCGTTCACAAAGCTATCGATAGCAAATCAGATGTTGAAAGTAAATCAAAACAATTCAGCAGAGTTTCCAGCTAGCTTATAAATTCATAACAAATTCTCTCACAATTAATTTTTTACACAGTGTTTCCTAAAATGTTTTATTCTCTGAACATTTATATTGTAATAAATATTTTAGTATTATTATTTTAAATGAAATGTTATTTATGGCATGGTATGCAGTAAATTCAGTTTTAATCCAAGTTTTGAACCTAGCTTAGTTAGTGATTGAATATTTTGGGAAATTTAGCAGAGTCACTCCAGTTAAAAGTCGGTTATAAATTTTTGGTCGGATATTTTCAAATATAAAGCAAGAATTAAGTCTAAAAAATGAAAGATAAATTTAAAATAAAATAAAGTGTCCAATTCACATTTTCTTTTATTAATTTGATAGAGAACAAATTAAGATGCTCGAGAGCAATACTCTCAATGCATATATAAAATCAAAATCTTCAGATTTTCTCAAAAGCACGCCAATCGCTCGCCGTGTGCATACATATGTGCTCAGAATAGATTCGACCAACGAACGGCATAATACGGTTTTCGCGGCGTGAAAAAATCGCGAAATATTCTCTCAAAATATAGATAAAAAGGAAATTCTGTGGTGGGGCGGACGATTGTGTGCATAACAAAAGTGCAAGTAATTATTTGTTGTTTTAATATTATGCAAATTTTTACAAATAACGACGGACAGCAAATACCAGAAAATCTTGCGCACAGTTATATATTTTAGTCTATTTTATGTCCCGAAGAACATAAAATTTAAAATTGTGTATTCAATGTGGCAATATCATCTATACAGCATTCTGAAAGTGGCGAAACGAACGCCTAGTGAAAGTAATGGGCATTAAGATATACACATGATGAGCTCCACTCATAGACAAACGCGTGCACGCACCCACACATACATACACAGTCATGTATATACTCACACGCCCATATCCAATGCTGCACTTTGGGGGCCACATTTCTCCCAAAAAATGGAAATATTAATTGCGTGTAACCTAAAAATGAAATATTGGAAGTGTGCACTCCTCACCAACTGGGAATGCCAGTTGGTGGAGGGCGGAGGGGGTATGTCTCAACGAAGTGTCTTGGGTGGGGGGAGGCCAAACAAAAGAGTGTCAGCAATTTAAAAATAGTTTACGCTATTGTTTCTATTTATTGTGATTTTGTATTAGTTTTCATGCGGCTGTTTGTTGTTTGGCCTGTCGATTGCTAGCTGGATAATAATATATTTGTACAACAAATTGTGGCATCAAGTGCATTCGCAAAATGTGTGCGGGGGGATGGGGTCTTCAAATCGTTTTGTTCTGATCCGTTCCGTTTATTGACCACAGAGGCGTAAATATTATTTCAAATATTTCCAAAACTTTTGCACATGTGGCGAAACGTGCTAAAATTTCGTTTTTCAAATTTATTGTTTATTTCATGTATTTTAAGCGTTACACTTTGAGGCATTTCAAATTACCCCATATACGATACGTATACACAAGTCTGCCAATTTATATACAAACACATACATATACATACATATTTATAAGAGGGTGGACTGTGTGTGTGTCTGTGTGCTTGTGTTTTGGGTTATTGTGTGTGTGGCGGACGTTCCACATTTGTCTTCCTCTTTTATAAACAAATTTTTGATTTCGATAATTCGTGGGATATTCTTGTCTTGCGTGTATTTCTAGTGGCGTATCTCTCCGAGTAAACAAACAGAAGCCAATTGAGCATTTCAGTACGCGCATAGGCACACATAGCTGGACACTCATACCTACACACGCGCACACATACATATATATATATTTATGTAAACCGAAGTGGACTTGCGCTGGTTTCTCAACTTGCAATGGAAGGAGCACCACCGCCAAAGCCTCGTCGGACACGACATAGAATCAGTGCCATGCACTATGAATCCCTGCCCACGGCTCCGCCTGCCATGTGCGGACGGACCGATGAGAACATCTTCCAGTTTCCAGCTGTGGCCTCGCGGGCACGCAATCTCTCTGCTTCGCCCAAGCTGCGCGAGGAGAAGGATTTGCCCGTGTGCGAGCATGGAAAGCATAGTTGTCACTTCTGTCAGCCCTACCGAGCGGATCGTGGCACGATTGAGCCGCTCAAGAATCGGCTCAACACTGCCATTGAGGCCATGGATCAACTAACTCGCACATGTGCAATGCTTGAGGGCCTGTTGGAGCAGAAACTTGCCACCATCACGGACAATGACGAGGAGTCGGCAGCCGGAATGGAGTCGGATATGATAGCCCTCAATGCTGCTTCAACTTCAACTTCAACCTCAACTCTGACTGCAGCCAGTGCTCCTGCTGCTGCACAAGCTCCAGCCACATCCACACCCACCGCCGACACCGAATTCGAGTTGGAGCACTCGTTGACCTGGCTGGAATCCCTATTGGGCACCGAGGTGGTGCCTCCCACAAAGCATGGCAAATTCAAGCGGTATGTACATATTGAAATACGATATTCCACGCTGGGATAAGTCTGATATCCACACCACAGAATACGCGAGCGCAGTAAGTCCATGATGGAGGAAGAGATAAACATGTATTTAAAGGGCGACCGGCAGATGAAGAACTCCTCTAGGCCATATTTGCTGCGCCGGCAGAGCACCTACAGCGACAACAAGTCCAAGGTGTCCAAGTGGACAAAGGTGAAGGCGGCTTTCAAGTGGGAGCGGGCCAATGTGCCGCCCACAGCTGCTCACGATTCCAATACATTGATGCCGCTTAATCTAGAAGTAGAAAGGTATTTCAGATAATTCTGTTCTAAAATATAATCGATGCTAAGTCCATAATCTCTTCTAGATATTTAAAGGTGCCAATAAGCGGCGCAGGCGGCAGCAGCTCCGCGGACAGCATCATCAGCTCCTCGTCGGGTCACTTTTTGAGCGAAACGGGCGGCACACCTGGTACCATCAGCTCGGCCAGCTCCTTGGATGAGCTGCAAATGGATGCGGGCAGTCGCCAGCCAATGCGTAAATCCCTTCTCGAACTGCTTTGATTTATTTATTTGGTGCAGCTTTCACTCTGATTATAGGGCGACATTCAGCGAAGGGTGACTCGCGGCCCTCCAGCTATGAAGTGGAGCTGCGTAAGTCGGCCACGGATGAGCGCTTGGATACGGCCAAGTGCTCGCTGCCAAGCAAATCATCATCGAATAAGTCTCTACGTCGCTCGCGAGCCTTCTCGGACTTTGAGGTGCTGCCCGAGGATCATGTGGCGGACATTAAGGCGACGACCAGTCGCCGGAACAAGCTGCCGCCCAGTCCTTTAAATCTCAATCAGGTGTGCAGTGATCTGCCGCAGCTGCATTCTCCGCTCAAGAGTCCAAAGGATGGATCACGTATGCGTCAAGTGAACTCGCCGGGAAACTCTTCGGTGCCGAGCAGTCCATCCAGGCATTCGGATTTCTTTGGTGAATTTGGTGGGTGAGCTGTTTGGTGGCTACCATATTAGCGGTTTCCATTAACGTCTGGCTTTACAGAGAGCGAGGAGCTATCAAGTGGAGTTTCCTCGGAGCCCACGACGCCAAACTGTAAGACTTTCACACAGAACGAAGATGAAGTATTTCAACATTATCAACTTCTACTACTCAAACTAGATATGGAGTTCAAGCACAAGCAATGCGAACTAAAGCGAGCCAGCGCGAGCAATCGCAGTAAGCCACACGATAGACATTCAGGTAATCCACCGACCACGCCTAATCCCGATTCTATTCCAGGCGTCAAGCTCAGCAGTGGTGGCCCAGGCAGCGTCAGTGGCAGCGGCAAGCGCAGCAGCGAGGAGCATTCACCCACGCAGCTGCTGCACAGTGATCTTATGTCCACCGAACAGCTCGAGCAGAATTTGACGCCGCAGTTCAAGAAGAAGCTTCACAAATGGCGGGCCAAGCAGCAGAGCTCCAATTGCTATGCCACCTCCGAGACAGCGGCGAGTCCCACAGCCAAAAGTCTAAGTGGCGGCGATATAAAGCCAAAAATCGACTGGAATCTTTGGAGCTCGGGTGCATTGAAGCTTGAGGGTCAGGGCCTGTGCGCGCTGCCAGACCAAAAGGATTTACCTGAAAAGTTTCAAAAAAAGCTGGGTGAGTCCACAGTGAGCTGTGCGATTGAGATATTTGGTTATCCAAAATATTTATCCTCAGAGCAATGGAACCGCTTGAAGTGTACGCCCGTCGGTGGCACCAACTCCGACAATGATTCTCTCAAGCGCAGCTCCAAGCACAATCAGTCCAGCCGGCGAGGCTCTGATGATGATCGCTGGTACAAGCACAAGCCGCACGAAAAGGAAAAGTATGTATATTGTAAATATCCCCGCCTGGATCAGTTTCTATTTATCTTACTCGCAGATTGGCACGCCTTAAAGCTATCGTGGCACCGGATCATACATCTAAGAATATTGAGGTGAAGACCTCAGATGGCGAGGTGAGAAAATTCGAGGGCATCTCTCGCAAATTTACACGTAAGCTTTACGAGTGGGAGAAGGCCAGAGGCATCGGACCAGAGGCCTCCACGTTTGCGCTGCTCCATCCTGGCTACAGTCCTTTATATGTGGGTCTCATCAACAAGGAGTGCAATAAAAGTGAGTCCTATTTGACAAGACTCTGGTTGTTAGTATAAGACATCATATTTTCTATTTTATGTAGACAACCCCGAGCACTCACCGACGCTGAGCCGCTCACTATCGCTGGATAGTGTGGCGCCCAATGGCAATCAGGCTCCGGTCATATCGCAGCAGGCCTCATCCTTGTCGCTAAACGATGTCAACGATTTTAAGGAGATGCAGGACTGCACAGATTCGCCGGATCAGGAGTTCAAGAAGTACGACGAGCCCGAGGCAGTGATGGTCGAAGTGGAGGAGCACATACACGACACCGCCTCCCCGCTGGTTACCGCCCACACGCTGGTCGAGCAGCAAACGCCCATCTACAAGTACGAGGAGGTGCAGTGCAATGACTATGTGTAAGTGAATGCATTTAATGACTAGAAACGGTTTGAATGACGCCTCGCCTATTTATAAACCCCTGCAGCAACTCGCGTCGAGTTCAGAGCTTTGAGTCACACACGAACCTGGCCCCGCTGCTGGGTGCACTGAAACGTGCCGACGAGCTGTTTGCCCGGCTCAAGCAGGCCACCGCAGACATCGTGGAGCATGTGGAAATGCGGGATTGCCAGGCGACCTTGCTGAGCATTCGCAGTATTTATCTATACTACTCCAACAATTTGATGAAACCGAACGTGCTGAATGCTGTGTCCGATGTTCAGAGTGACTTGGGCCGTCTGGCCGAGCTGGTAGGTGCATTTGGCCGACACGGAAACCGAACTGTAATGTGCTTGTATACTGCAGATTGTGAAGTCACCGCTGGATGAGGCATGCTGTCAGGAGACAATGGCGGAGCGCACGACCGAGTACTTGGAGGAGCTTCAGGGTCTACACGAATCGCTACTCTGCCTAAAGTTGAGCATACGTAAGCTCTCCTTTAAATAACTATATGTCCTTTCATTACCTTCCATTCATTTCGATGCAGAGGGCGGCACGACTCGTTTCCCCCGGGACGTTGTGCCGGACATCAACATAACGGCCGAGGACGGGCAGCAAGTGGAGAGCAGCTCTACCTATGCCACTGGCGATGCTTCCAGCCGCGATCATCTGACGCTGGATGAGCACAGCGCCGCCTCGCCTTCGCCCTCGCCCAGGGAGCATGAGACCGAGACAAGCACCACGACAGGCACCCTCTGCCGAGCGAGCAGCTCTGTGACTGCATCCAAGAAAAAGCTGCGCCTGCGCAAGATGGGCTCGCGTCAGAATAGTAAAACCGAGAGCGATAGCAGTGATGCGGATACACAGAGTGTGTTGGAGACACCGCGACGCATACGCCGCAAGAACTTCCGGCTGAAGCAGCGATCATTAGATGATGATTTTCGCCTGAGCTCTGTGACAACGACGGGCCATGCGCCATCGGCCGAGCCAGAGGAAATCATTTGCAGTTCGCTAAAAGTGAAGCCTGGCGAACGCATCGAGGAGTCGCACAGCATAGCCAGCAGTATAGCCCAGCCGATCGCCAAGCAAGCTGGCTTCGTACCACCGCCGTTGCCGGAGCAGCATGCACGCAGCTACAACACCAATGCCAATGTGTTTGTGAAGACCAAGCGCAAGCTATTCACTGCAGTGCCGAAGCCCAATGCCCCCGAGGGCATAACTGTCATAGAGAAGGAGCTGGAGAGTCCCACGTATAGCGTCGAGGAGGCACAGTCTCCCATATCCAAGGTGCCCACTAAGCAGGCTGCGCCACGTCCTTTAAGTCTATACAAATCCATCAGCTTGGAGCGCCTGTTGCCTCTGCGAGCCAAGGATGAGTTGCGCAAGTGCCAGAGCGCCAATGATGTGCATCGATCGTCCATTCCGGTGCGTGCTCCACTTGCTAGCGATAGCATAAAATGCCTGACGCGCTCCAAGCGTCACCTGGGCATGTCCGCATTTCCCCAAGCGCCTCCGCGCAAAGCGCATCTCTACAAGAAGAACTCGCTGCACAAGTCGCAGAGCGCCACAGTTAGCAACAACATTGAGCACAAGATTGCCAAGACCAGCTCTGGGTCCTCGGTGAGCAAGGCCTGGCCAGCATCGACGTCCATAGTATTGCCCAACAAGCAGGACAATACACTACCACGCATACAGCGCAAGCTGGAGGCCAAGGCAAAGGTTATGCACACCCCAACCAAGGCAAAGCACTTCGAGTTCCCAACATCCATCATGGAGCCCCAACGTCCGATGACGCCGATGTCTGAGCGCGCCTTGCGACTGCAGCAGGCCAAGGCAGAGTTTTTACAGAGTGCACCAGTGACGCCCAGGCAGGAGCCCCTGACTCCCATAGCCATGAACAATGTGCCCTTGCACAAGAGCGTCAGTGCTGGCAGCATGCGGGGCGATGTGGGCTGCTCGATAGAGCAGCTGCAGCAACGACAACAACAAGAAGTGACCACGGATCAGGAGAGTGTCAGCAACTCCAGCGCCTACGATAGCTTGCCGCGCACTGTCACGCGCTCGGCACGGATCTCCAGCAAACTGGGCTTTGCCACGCTGGCCTCCAAGCTGCGTCGCGGCGGCAAAAAGCCCAAGGAACCACCGGCTCCCATGCCGCCAGGCAGTGCATTGTCCGCACTCTGTCGACAAACGCTGATGGCCGATTTGGTCATTGGTGGCGAACACCCACCACCCAGTCCCTCTGCGACCACATCGGCGCCCGCTCGCAATGTGCTCAAGTCTCAGAGCTCACCACAAGCGGCCATATCGAATTTGCATGCCAGCTACGAGGGCCTCAACAAATCCCTAAGCGAGCAGTATGTGCGCCAGCTCAAAGAGAGCGACGTCTAGTCAGCCATATATGTATGAGCACCTAAGTCCTCTAACTTCAGATCTAAGCATATCAGTGAATGTCATCAGATTGGCTACCCAACAGCTTACCAAATATATTATACAACACAATAGTAAATTCGAAAAGTCTATTTTTAGTTAAAACTGAAGCTATCTGCGCATATGACGAGTCTTATGGATATTGTAGGAAAGACTCTACCTCTGTTATTCCAAGGATTGTCTAGTTACACTTTTCTTGCATTTACTTTGCACAGACTTGGCCTCCTCAAATATAACCAACTAACCAGATTAATCTATCGATGATCTACGTAATCATCGTCGATATTATCGCTGCCATCATCGTCGTCCTCTGCAATGTCGTTCTCCTGATCAATTTTCACGGGCTCTGCGTCGGTGTTCCAATAGCGCTCGTTCTCCGGCTTAAGGAAATCGTATTCCGGCTTATCTGTGTCCACAAACGTAATGCATACCGTTAGATTCTGTACAGTCTCAACCATTTGCGGAATGCTGTCCTTAAATTCCAAGCCACATTGCACCGACTGCAATACAGCGCCTGGCAGCTGATTGTTGATTTTGTCGTAGCCAGCGATACCCACGGCGATAATGTCGTGCAGCCGGCGTAGAGCTTTGAATACGTTTAGTGTGCCGGAGAGTATTTTGCCCACCAATGTTTTCTTGGCGGATATCTTCTTGTAGATGCTAACCAGCTGCTTCACGTTTAGCTTGATCTCCTTGACGGAGGCAACAGTTTCATCCTGGACTTTCAGTATCAGCCCCATGGTGTAGGTGTAGCAGTCAACACCGCCGTTGATGGCATGCAAAGCTTCCGTAAACTGCGGCACATGCGAATAGCTGCAGTAGGCGGCTTGCGAGACACGCCCCCAGGTGTGCCACATAGCCTCCAGCCCAGCAATGGCGGCCATCACAATCTTCGGTTTGTTCAGCTTCAGCAGATTGATTTCCAAGTCTTTGGCGCGTGCCACAAGTTGCTCAATGCCCAGCTGCGATTCATCGATTAAATCCTGCAGTATGTCCAGCAGATCCTGCAACTCCAGCAGCTCCTGCTCAGTCAAGTCCCTGCTGGGCTGGCCCACCATCTCCTCCAGCGAGGGCAGCCTTGTGTCGTACTCAATGATGGGCTTGTAGCTTAAATAGCCCTTAAACTGCTCTCGAAATTCATCAAAGACCTTAGCATAGGTGGCGTCCAATGGCTCAACCGTGGGCAGCGCCACCTGGGCGCTGCCATCGCCGCTCTGCATGGACAGGCTGTATAGATAGTCATGCTGCGTTTGCAGCTCGCGATAAAATGGTCGCAGGGCTTCCACTTCTGTGGCAGATAAGTCAAATTCCTTGGCTTGTTGCACCAACAGATTACTCATCTCCTGGTGTGCCCAAGTGCTGCCCAGGAGCAGACAGCCAAGCAGAGGCAGCAGCACTAAAACTCCCATCATTTCGCCGCCTCGAATGAAGTTGATCAACTGACACTCAGTCCATTACGGCACGTTTGGTCTTTTTCGTTATCATTGGTATGGACTGTAAATCTTATCAACGACCACACTTGGATTTTCATAAATAGTTTGATAAGATGAAGCTAATCTTATTTATGGTTCTTGCGCGCCAATTTGCAACAACAATCATTTTATTTCGGGCTTTAATCTTCAAGTAGTCAATAATAGAACAATGGCATATCCAAGAAGTTATTTAAACTAATCGCGCTACATCTACATTTCTGTATATGTATTCTTGATATTATCTTATATATTCTGTGTGTCCATTAAACAAGTGAATTTAAGTAACATATTAAGTTATGCGTTTTGGAGTCATGATTGTCATGATGATCTATCATTCTCTAAATATGTATATGACTAATTGGTACGGTAATAATGTTCATTAATTGACTATAAATAGGAAGAATATGTCATCATTTGACTATATATGTCTGTAAATATTACAACTATATGTCATAATGTGTTTCACTAATCAATTAATATCTGTATTGCTGAAAATGTTCAATGACAAATGACGATAGCTAGAAAGTAAATAAATATTATATCTTATTCTTGCTATCAGCTCTGAGTCATGCATATGCGTGTACTTTATTCGTTTCTTCTCTATGTAGGGTTATATTGGTATTTTTGAGCAGTTAAACAGAAAGTAAAATGCCTTTTGGAAACACTTTGGCAGACAAGAAGAAGCTTGAAGAGCTCGACAAATATTAAATAATGCTGCTGAAATAATAGAAAATTATATGTGATACTTAATATCTATTTATATATTTTCTATTACAATAATTAATAAAACCATTTGTTTATACTCAATACTGGAAGGAAAATACGATCAAAATTTCAACAGACACATCTAATAGAATGGCTAATGATTGATGAGTGATCACTGATCATGAAGACTGGTGAAATATGACGACTGATGATTGATATAGCATGTAGCCAAAGGTTGTTTTTTTATTATATTACAATATTATAATAAAGATTAGTGCATAGCAAAACAATAAAAAATTCAGCAGAAACAAGAGAGTGAAACTACAAAAAATATAATGTATATATATAAAATATAGTTATATAAATGCCTAGTAAGTGTGCAATGATATCGGTGCACTAAATTTTGTGATCTTATCTCATTGTTTGTCTCAGTTTTTCATCATGAAAATTGAGAAGCTGTGTAGGGCTCTTGTGCTTTATCAATTTTTATCATAACTCGACGCCAATATATATTTGGCATTGCCATTGCATTGGCCAGCAATAGAAAGCGAGGCATCATGGGCAGAACAATTCAAATTTTAAGCGTACTCCTGCTGACCTGGGCAGTGAGTATATATTAAGTAAAATGCTCTGTATGGCTTCATAATGTTGGCTATTTTATAGTACACCCAGGCGCAGATCGACAGCAACACAAACAGCATTGCGGAAACAACGGAGACTGTAGACAGCACGGAGACAACGGAGACTACGGAATATGGACCAATTAACATGGTAGTTGATCAGCTGTCGAATATGGCCGTGAATATAAGTGATCAGACGTCCACACAGCTGCAAGCGAATATTGAGCGCACATTGACGAGCATATTGGATGATCTGGAAGAGCTGACTACCAATGCCATGGCCGAGATGAGCATAGCCATCGACGACACGAATCAGGTGCTGCTGGGCAATCCCGAGTGCAACGCCGCCTGGAATCTGCAAGACTTCACACTCAACGTCACAGATGAGCTCAGAGGCTGCACGGAGCAGCTGAGCAATATGATTGCAACGTATCGCGGCGAGGGCCAGCAAGCTTTGGCCAACGTGCAGAGCTTTGTGCAGCAAATGGCGCAGCTGCCAATAGTCTGTCAGAGTCAACAAATGGGCGTGGCACTGGCACCAATGGGCATTAGCTTTGACAACAGCAACAGTTGCTTTCTGCGCGGCATCGCAGTCATCAATCAAGGACTAGCTGAGGCCATGCACAATGCCTCCCTGTTGCTGGTGCGCACGCGCCGCCTGGCCCAGAATGAATTGGCTCGGTCACAGCAATGCAGCAATGCGCTCGTCGCCCAGGTCACTGAGTATCTGCGCGTTCAGCGCGCCAATTGTAGTTAAGTAGGACTTGAACTATTCATAAAAGAGAATTTTCGATTGTATCGTACGCAAATATATGTATGTATGTAAATGGCAATTTATGCACCCAAAGGATACGCTTGAACAGGATGCATTGGGCTCATTGGTTATGCATGCGCATTCGTCAGCGGAAAAGGAATTGCAATCGAAGCGCATTGACATTTATTTGACAAGTTTTTGATTGATTTTACAGCTGCTCCTTTGGCATAATTTTTGGCAAGCATTTTTAGTTTGGCCTAAACACGAAGTTCACTTTTCAAACTCTCTTGCATCTAATTTGTATAAATATTTAAATGCCGACTCTTCTTGCCAATTGGTCAATGGGCTTTGTCAGCGACACGTGGCAACACACACGAACTAAACATCAGTCAAACAACGACCAGAGAGAGGCAACAGCTGGCCATCGAAAGAGACAGCATTGGCTGGTAGACACTCTCTCGCTCGCTCATTCATCTCTCTGTCTCTCTCGCTCGCTTGGGTCAGGTCTACGTTCATGCATTTCCGCAGAGAGCCAAATTATTTTGACCTGCGCCCAAACACTGAGCACAATTTAGATGCGCTTTGCATGCAGCTACTTTGCTACTGCGTAATTTGTTGCTCTGAAATTGTTTTCAGTGCATAGGAAACTACGAACAGAAAATTCCTACTTTTTTTTTTTTTTTTTTTGGCTCAATGGCGCAATTTTACCCAGTAAGCAAGCATCTGAATTTTATCTTATTTTTACGACTCGTAACAGTTGTTGTTGATGATCGCGGTATTGTTGTTGTTGCTGTTGTTGTAGCTGAAACGCTGCGATACCTATACAAGGCCTACTCCAACATCTGTTGAGCATTTTCTAGACAACTGACGGAACCTGGTGACGAACTGAGCCCAAGACATTTCCCCAGTTTGGATTGTCTAATGCCAAGTGAAGGAAAAGTGCAAATTAGAAATAATTTGAGTGTATACGAGATATCGATATATAAAATCAGTAACAATAAGTATATAAAATAAGTATATATACCATATACACCATCAGCTATTTGCTATAGATAGACAATGTGTTAGAACAGAGCAATTTATAACACTTAAATTATCTTTTAAGCATAATGTTTAGCTCTTTTACGAACACAAATATTTGATCTATATTTTAGCACATTAATGGCTCGTCGCTGCAGGCCATTTTTGGTGAATATCCAGGTAACACTGTCCAACACTTTAATGATGCTCCTTTCGCTGGAATCCCAGCAGCACTTGGCTTGCGCTCTAGTAAAGCTTTCTACTTTTTCCTGCGCAACAATGTTGTTATTATTAATATGATTTTAATCGCTTTGGCCTTGATCCATGCTAATTTTCTCGTCTCTACGAATGCTTCGGCATATACTTAATCGTCTCCTGATTAATGTCTTAGCTTGACTTAATTGAAGTCAATTTTGGCCATTCGCTTTGATTGATGCTGAGCACTATGAGAACTGTAATCGTTGGACTGCCGCATTTCGCTGCCGCAGGACATCTAGAACTGTCTACT